TGTGCCCCACAGGGTTCTCAGTGGATGAGTTTTCATAAGTAGATCCCACTCATGGTGCCCCGTGTGTGTCAGAGTAGAACTGTGCTCCACAGGGTCCTTAGTGGTGGATTTCTCCTAAGTAGATCCCCAGGCCTCTTTTTCGGAGAAACCTCTGGGTAGGCCCAACCCCTCCAATCATCCATTTAGCAGCCAAGCATGTTAACTGTGCTCACCACCACAGATTCCAAGGACAACCTAAGCGTTCTGACTTTTTGCAGAGCAGCAACCACAAGACACACACACACACACCCAGCCGGGGAAAGTGCCTGCCTGCTGCCCGCCTGCCACCCCGGTAACCAGCCACAAGGCAGCCCAAACAACTCAAAACAAAGGCAGCCGTGCGGACATGGGAGCTTTACACGTGTGATCCGGGGACAGAAATAGATGCGCCTGCAGGCACAGCTGGCCAGCCCACATTCTTTTCAACACACGCAGGCGGAGGGCAGACACATCCAGGCAGAAGCCAGCCCCACGGAGCTCACAGTGGCTGCCCTCACTGCCAGGAGGTCACGTGACACCTGTTAGAAACACGCCCGCTCCCATCCGGGGCACGTGGGGTCCCAAGTCCCCATCCAATGCTGCTCTGCCACCTGGGCCAAGTGAAGGGTGCGTGGGGGGTGCTACTTCTGTAATGGGGTCTCACTGGACAGCTGACTACTCGATGCACCCACAAGGCCGAGTCCCCGCCCCTCTGAGCAGAACATGAACCCGGTTTCTGTGTAGGGACTGAGCGTCCTGGTTACTGAGAGCGCAGGTAAATTCCCCAAGGAGTCCTAGTGGGACAATGGTTAAAGCGCTTCTCTGCTAACCAAAAGGTCGGTGTTTCAAACCCACAAAGAGGTTCCATGGAAGAAAGATCTGGCTATCTGATGCCTTAAAGATTGCTTGGTCACCTGGGGTCACTTGGAGTCAAAAATCAACATCACACACCCCCACTGGGTAAATTCTCCAAGGACACAGCCCATCATCTGTGTGGCTTCGGCCACACTGATATTCGTTCATTTGTACGCACGCAAGCACGTACCCATGTACGTACGTACGTACACACGCACGCACACATGCGTTCTCTCTCCAAACTGGCTGCAGACTGCAGGGGATCTAAGTTTGCTGAGGGTGTCGGCGAAGGTGACACGGGGCAGGTGGCAGACCTGTGAGGCACAGGCCCCAGTCACATCATTCGATGGTGTTACCAGGCACCTTGGGTTCCTGACAGGGGAAGAAAGTGGGAACCCCTGGCCCAGCCTGGGGAGGGAGGGGTTGCAGAGTATGGAGGGAGGTGCAGGGGGCGGGGCCTCTGGAGCTCCTCCCACCGCCCAGGAGACCACGGAGAAGACAGTGCAGTGTGTGCGCCCCTCCCCCAGCAGGCAGGCCGTCCGTGGGGATGGCTCAGTGGTGACTGACCAGTACACACTGAGCCCGGTGTGGGGCTGCAAACGGGGCTCCTGTCTGGGAAGGGGCCTCACATGGCAGGACCAGACTCGAGGTCGTGAGGCTGAGCTGTGGGGGCTTCAGGAACCTGGGACCAGATGCTGAGCACACCCCTCATACCCACACAGGCTGCGGGGTACAGATTCTCACGGGAGTGAGAGGAGGGGCCAGAGTTCCGGCCAGGGGACCTAGTCCTGAGCGTCCCTCAGAGCCAGGAGGTCGGGGAGTGGCCGGCACATAGGGGACCTGGAAGGGCAGATGCACGGACACAGGCGGGGACCCGTGGGCACATGAACAGAACTCAGGCTCAGGATGGTTGCTCTGCTCTGTGTCCAGCAGGGACACTGGGCAGTGAGGGAGGACACAGGGATGGTCAAGCAGGGCCTACAGTAAGCCCTAGGACAAAGGGGGCAGAGACCAAGAAGCTGCTGAATCCCGCTCCAGCCCCCTAGCCTTGCTGGTGGTAGGAGATGAGAGGACCATGCTGGTTCCTGAGAACCCACCGCGATGTCAGGCTCAGAGGGGACAGCACGTGGGTCACCCCAAAGAGAAAGGACAGCAAACAGGAAGGGCCACGTGCTCAGCAACCCCACGGGATGGGAGCATGGAGCCTTCTAAATAAAAGTCAGATTGTTGGGGATGAGAAGATGGGCCCCACTAGCAAGGGGCCCTCTCGGAGTGGGGACGTTGGCCCTGAAGGTTAGACCATCACACTTCCGTATGTGTGTGTGTGTGTGTGTGTGGGGCACCTTAAACATCAGGACACTGGCAAGGGCCCATTCAAGGCAACACTAGAGTAGGGAAGATGACCCCCTCCAGAGAGCACCCCTGAAAAGTACTGTGAAAACAAACAGGCTTTCCACAAACAGAACCACACAGAGAGAAACTCATTAGATGTGTGCACTGGAGAATGGCGACTCTGGTGACAGCAATTGCTCCCTGGTGGGGGGTACCTGCATGAGGCCATCCTGGCTGGGAAGCTAACAGGAAGCCTCGATTTACCAATCCTGCGCTGAACCTGGTAGAGCAGGCCGGACAACAGCAAGTCCTCCTTCCCCTGTTGTCCAAACCAGTCAGCCATGAGGGCTTCTGCTTCTCAGGGTCGGGGGAAGATGGTTTTATGAAGACACATTAGAGCCATTTCTCCTCTGAGGGCAAAACTTAACATTTGGAAGGCTGGAAGGCAAAGACCAGATACAAAAATTCAAGAGATAATGTAGAAGTTGAGATGCTACTTAGAAAAAAATTCCAATGAAAATATCAAGGAGCGGCTTCATTTGTTTTTCAACGTAGCCCACTTTGATCCAGTGTGATTTTTTCAGCACCAGGTCCCCAGCACCGAGCTCTTTACCCACGTTGTCACCAGGCCTCCTTGCTTTAACTGCAGGTTAACGTAGCGATTATGAATCGGGATGCGAATCTCATGGTCAGCAGTTCGAAACTACCATATGTTTCGCAGGAAACAGATGAGGCTTCCTGCTCCAATAAAGATTTACAGCCTTGGAAACCCTGTACAGGGTTGCTATGGGTCGGAACCGACTCCACGGTTTATAACCACAACAACACCCCTAAAACAAGATGCCAACATCTCCCAGGGAAGATCCTGCGCCTTGCCGCTCTCTCTATCCACACTCAAACCAAGAAGGGAGCAGGTTCAATGCAACTTCAGTCTCTCCAGACCCCAAACACCAAGAAATGACACTGAGAAC